TCCGATAGAGATCATAGTACGGTTCGGCACAAGGGGACGCGGCCCATTCTCTACAACTCTGACCGACAGACGATGCTTCCAGACCCTATATGATACGCTCAGCAACGACAAGTTACAAGGCAAAGGACGAATTTACTAGGCAATTGAGTTGTCGCGGCTCGATATTTCGCGGACGAGCGAAGAATCTGGAGTGCTCGACCCATTGTACAGCGCCCACCAGCCCTGCTAACTTCATAATCCCTCAGAGAATTACTTAATTAGGATCCTAATTCACATGAAGTTATCCGGTCGTGTCAATGATCGGCAGGCGATCGCAAACAGGGCATATAAAAATTTTACTGAAGGAACAAGGCTGGGGTTCGAAATGCCGCCGGGCTGCGGGTCCAAAGCTTCATTTAAGGGCTTCGCAAACCTCCAGCTGCGGAGTTGAGCCTCTCTGGCGCCGTCGCCTAGAACTCGATAGGAATCCATTGGTGGCGCTGGGCTGAAAGTTGACAAGACATGGATGGCTCGATTCAAGCCATGTCTAGCCAAAATGCTAACAAACACGAGGAGTCTTCCCTAAACGTCGATGCCAAGCGTGGCGCCGTAGCTCCAGTGAGGGACGCTATCGAGTATAAGGGCTCCTTGTGGGGTATAAGGATACGATCGCATTGTGCATACACAATGGGGTGGAGTTCATACATGAAGATATTGTTGTTAGAACACTAGCATTTTCAAATCGTATATCGATGCGAGTTTTTGTGAGTTCGTTTGAATCTCTTATAATCCTAGGCTTCGCTAAAGCTGAGCGTCGTGCGATGTGTGATGGGCTCATCCAGGCCGCTTATGGTCTGAGGGAGTCCAGAGATCGGGAAGCCTCCCTCGCTAAATATCCTTAAGATATTGGACGCCACCAAAGCCTCGTAGCGACCAGACATCGACTTTGACTTTTATGCATATTTCTATAATGATTGACTTCCTATTCAAGGTTCTATTTCTATAAGTAAAGAAATAAGTGGCAAAATTTACTATGAGTGAGTAACCCGAACCATTCCAAAATTGAAAAGCAGAAACCATGAAGGTAGGCTAGCACTAGTCCAAGCGATCGGACAAATGCCTCGGGAACGTAGCTCCCTTCGGGGAGTTTAATAGTCCAGAGCATACGCACCCTTTAGACAGACATGCCTATCCCCACTCCAGCGCAAGTTTAGAAAATGGTGAAAGATACTTGGAAGAACTAAATGGAAAAAATACATGGCAATAATCGAGGTTCCATTGTGATCCTGCGGCAGTTAGCATGACATCGTCAAAGATACTGTTACACCCCAACTTGCCTTAATATTTCGCCTACTCGTCCTCGCCTTGGATCTGCGCCCGCTCCTTCTTGGCTTCGTCAGCTAGTCTGGTATATACTTGCTCGCGAAGCTCGGGAAACTTCTGAAACTCTTGCCAGAAGTAGGTTGGACAATCCATGTATCGACGGAAATTTACAGCGATGAAACTTGAGAGTAGCTTCCTCATCTCTCTATCCGCTTCGAATGGCACTTCCTTTTCTGAATATATTCTCAAAGCGAAAGAGAATCCTTCGAATAATGGCCAGGGCTGTAAGATCTCCATCTTTTCCACAATCATTGCCATTAACGAGTCCAATGATATGTGCAAAGCAATTTCCCATGCCTCAGCGTAAATTCCAATGGCGTCACCTTTGCGCTGATCAACATCACCAAAAGGCAAGTGAAAATTGCCGGTTGATAGGTATTCTGCGACAGGCCGGAATTTTTTTGGGTCGATTTTTCTAAAGGACAGTTTAAAAAAGGTATGACCATACTTGCCGTCCTGCTCTAGCAAACCCGTTTCCGGTATGTGCTTATACGTTTTGAACACTGACCTAGGAATGTCGAAACGTTCTGCTTGAGGCCCTATTATCCAACCTACGAAGTTTTTCTTGAGACTACGAAGTGGCTGGATTAGCATATCTTCCTGGTACAAACTTGAGCTCAACGCACATTTGGTCTTCATCTTCTTCAACCGTTTCTTTAGAGGTCAATCGGTCTTGTAGGGGAACGCCCTCATCGCTCAACTCTTGATTCGTACATTCTAGGTCAAATCGGGTGGGTGAATTCGAATTATAATTTGCACCGTTGTTTCGAGGGACATCAGTGGACTCTTTATATCTACTAAATAACTGACGACCCAGGTTCCCGATTGATTTGACAGAACCACGTCTATGATCGGAAGGAAATAAAGCTGATTCTGGATAATATGCTAACGTCATCCGTCCTCTCTTTGTAGGACTTGATCCTAGAATCGTGCGGAATGGACTAGCTGATCTCTTATTTTCTAAGCGTTGGTCCCGGCGACCAGCCTCAAGTGCTATCTCTAGGTCCGTATCGTAGATTGAACCTGGCGAAGCCGTTCGCGAATCGCCACTACTACTTCTTTGGCCCACAGCATTTTTGACTGCGATCCAATGATGAAATGACCAGTCATTCGCAATAGCGTCAAGGGGTGCTTGATAGGCAGCGGCTAGATTTGGGTATTTTTTGGAGACTACATCTTCAGGAGGAGTGTAATCATGTATTTCTTGAAGATCACCAATGGAGGCCCACCGACTATATTATATTAACACTGGTCAGGGAGGCTTATTTTTAGAGGGCGTAACTAAGAGGGCGTAGGTGTTGGGAGTAAAGCCCATACTGTCGTTCAGCCTTGATCGGGTCGGAAGGGATGTACCGCTGAGATGTTGAAGCATAAATGGGTAAGAACATAATACGCTGTCAAATTCCTGCAAGTACTTAAAGCAATATAGGTTTGGTAAAGTGACGACAAATAATTCTTAGCTTCGTTCTTTAATATATAAAACTGCGGAAGCACTATCGGAAATGAGTATATCGTAAATGGCCCCTCTGTTTCTAGTCTTCAGGCACCTAATCATCAATATTAGATAAAGAAAGGGGGATTCGCTGTACTACAAGTAGATGGCTATGGAGGGCAGATGGGGAACCGCATAAAGATGAGAATAAATACTCCTGCTCTGGGGTGGGGTTTTCTAGCCTCTCACCTGGCTGTAGGTGCGTGGGAAGTTTGTTGGTAAGAATAGTTTGAAGGTCAGCAGTAGATCGTAGAGTGAACTAGGTAATTAGAGGTGCTTGTCTTTGCTCGAAGAATGAAACGGACGTTTGTAGTGGTGGTAAGTGGAAAGGACGAGCTTAGAGAGGTAAAGAGACGTCTAAAAAGAAGGGGAGTGGGGAATATGGTAGTGAAGTAATCTTATAGAAGAAAATAGAAACGGGAGGTCTGAACAGAGCCTTTCTATAGTAAAGGCAATTCGGGGGGAAAACTGCGGTCAAGTTGGTAAAGTGAGGTACCACTTCGATTCGATTATTCCACATCCCAAATATTAGCCGCAAATGCCCTTTCGTAAAGACTAAAATGGTGTTTGCTATCCATGATGGATGCTGCTCCCAACTAGCAGTAGTGGGGAAGATTTGAAGGTAGAGGTGTGAGTAAATATCAGCAGCTCGACTTCTTTCCTGCCCGTGAATTTCGAAGCCTTTACTGGAAATAAATCCTTTAAATATGCTAATATAGTCGATAACTCAGTGGGTATAATTAGTATGAATGAATCTCGAAAGATCCTAGTTGAAACACTCATCATAGGGCTGCTTAGTCACCACCCGTCTCCGAACATCTGTCTTCAAGCTCCAAACCTGTACGTTAACACCACGACCCCATATTCGCTCCCTCCCTTACTGGAGCCCCAATTCGCGGTCTGCCCACCTTTGCCGCACCTCTCTTATCTAGAAACCCCACCAGTTAACCTACCACGCACACAGCGCCGCACCACACCATGCTTGGCCTCACAAACATGCAGCCCCGGCAACTGGCCACGCAAATCCTCAACTTCGCGCTCGTCCTGTCCACCGCGTTCATGCTGTGGAAAGGGTTATCCGTAGTCACTAACTCCCCGTCCCCGATCGTTGTCGTGCTATCTGGGTCCATGGAGCCCGCGTTCCAGCGCGGGGATCTGCTGTTCCTGTGGAATCGGGGCATGGACACGCAGGTCGGCGAGATCGTCGTGTATAACGTCAAGGGCAAGGATATCCCGATTGTGCATCGGGTTGTGAGGAGGTTTGGTGGGGGGTGAGTGTTGTCTGATTCCAGGCTAGTAACACGACACCATGCGCGGGGATTGCGCAGGTCGAGGTGATTTTGGGGTACATTTACTGATGCGGAATGTGTAGGAAATCGCCCCTCCGGTTGCTAACGAAAGGTGATAACAACGCGGCCGATGACACCGAGCTCTATGCCGCTGGTCAATCGTTCTTGAATCGTAAGGAGGATGTCATTGGAAGCGTGGTTGGATATATGCCCTTTGTGGGCTATGTGACTATACTTCTTAGCGAGTACCCGTGGTTAAAGCAGGCGATGTTGGGTATCATGGGGTTGATGGTCGTGTTACAAAGGGAATGATCTTTCAGTAATGAGATGTGTATGCAGAGGGCACAATTCCAATGGGAATATGCTGATAAATCAATTTAAAATGAGATGCCAGCAGAACATGCACTACTTGCCATGGTGATTGCGCACTTCGCGGATCACTCATTGTATGGCACTTAAGCATTGGGGACCGCAATGCAGCATATGCAAGCACGGCGTTTTGTTTGGTAAAACGAGGCAACTTTCTCGCCTCATAAATGAAAGATATCCAATCGAACTGCATAATCAGATATATTCTCTCTTGGCGATCCGAACATTATCATCAATGCACTCCTTAGCCTTCCACTCCCCACATCTACACTCCACCCCTCAAACATAATACCCTCCAACCAACCAACTCCCAGCTCACACAAACGAACAAACCAAAAGTGTTAGAAAGAAAAAGAAATCCACCCATCACGCTCCCCAGCGTACCATCCCCGACACCATCCATCTCTCCACCAGGCAGGCGGTCAGCCCACCACAAACCACCACACTTAAACCCCTCAACACCACATCACGCAAAAGAGAAAGAATCATGCATCTGGCAAGGTTCGAACTCGCGACCCCCGCCTCACAGATGTCTGGGAAGGCGATACCCTAACCACTGGGCTACAGATGCTTGCTTGTGTGCCGCAGGTCGTAGGTTCTGCTTTGCATATATAAGCCCAGCAATAACCCAGTGTCAAAACGGAAAGTATAACCTGTCTGAATGGAGAAAGATGAGGAGATAATGTCTGGCCGGATAGAGTATGTAGACATGGATTGTTCGGGAAGATGCGTCAGTGATATGCGGGTAGCCGTAGCAGTGAAGGGTGGGGGTGTCTGGATCGAGGGACCGGGCGGACCAAGGCTTGAGCATGAGGTGGCGTCATTGAGTGAGCATGAAGCTTTTCGAGGACGTCCTATGATATTATTTTCGAGGGAGTGGCTTGGAGTGGATAGTGTCTTGGGGAACTAGGGCGTTGGGGTGGGATTCGAAATACGAAGACAGGAGCAGCGCTACGCAGGGAGACCGCTCGTACGTGGAAGCATACAACTACTTATTCGAGCACTCGGGGGATAGTAACACAGAGTCGGATGCCCCTGAAGCTTCTTCCAGCACAGCAAGATTGCCATACTGCAGGTAACTAGTGTACAAGATTGGAGGTCATGAGCTTCGTGATGTCTTCGCGTCAGAGAGAAGACGCCAAACATCAATGAACTAACCCATAGCTGCACAAAGAATCTGCAGGCCGTCGGATTCGTCATAGAGTCGATAGGCTCGTACTAACCCGCCCCAGAGATAAATGAGAAAGAAGCTGAAACTAAGGAAACCCAGCCCGATATCCTGTCTCCGTTACACCACAACCACCCCCGGGAAACACGAAACTAATTTCAGATGTCAACCGCATACTGATGATAGTCACGCCTACTCAGACTCCTCCTCTTCGTCGCCGCCGCCCTATACTCGTTAGTAAGTGTTACACCAATGGTAGGACTCGTGCATAACTTACGGCATAGGCAGCTTTCTCTTCTTCGTACCGCTTCTTGTCCGCGGCGGCCTTGGCCTCATAGGGAGCGCGCTGCTTGTCGGAGAGGTTCTTCCACTTTTCCCCGAGCATCTTACCAACCTCGCCTCGAAATTTGTTAGCTGACGGCAGTAAAGGCGTGATCATTCTAAATTGCTTACCGAACTTTATTCCGGGGTTCTCTTCACGAACTTTCTCGCGCTGCTCGTTGGCGAAGAACATATAGGCAGAGAGACCACGCTTTGGGGCGTTCGGGTCTGACCACGTGAGAATGGAAAAACACTTTTGATGTTCAAGTATTCTTACCCTTCTTCTTCTTGCCAGTCTCAGGCTTGGACACTTTGCCTTTGCCGCGGGTGCTCTTTTCCTTAGGCATTGTATTGAAGCTACGTAGAGGTAACAGATGTTAGCATCGGTGAGATTGGCACAGTCACGCGTGACGCGGAGATGGCAAAAGTCAAAGTATTCAGGAATCGAGTATAGTAGCAGATGCAAAAAGTTGATGTTGGCGGTAGTGGGCTGCTTAAATAGTTTGGTGGTCGCCGTGTTGGTCGTGGTGGGCGTCGGTGAGTACAGTAGCGGTGGAGCAGGTGCGCCTTCCGCGTCAAGGTGACTCGGTCGCAAACCACCAATTTGCATCGCAGAGATGGCCAAGTAGGCAAGTAAGAAGGGCAGAATACTCACATGAGAGGTTTGGGGAAAAAAAGATTTCGTGCGTCAGAAGAGGGTCTGCGCGGTGGTCAGTATGTACCTGGCAGAGCGCTGTTGCGGCGGCGATGAACAAGAAATCAAGACGTGATGCAGCGCAGGATATGACGAAAGCAGAGCTTCAGAGCGAGATGGCGCGTGAAAACGCGTGAAAAAAGGGTGGGGAGTGCAGGCGTTGGGAGAGCGAAGGCCGCAGGCGTCGATTTGGCCTAAGCGAAGGACATACCAGAGAGTTGTATCGCAGCCGTGGCAGCAGAGGGTTCTATGAGGGAGCTGGAGGGAGAGCGAGCGCAGAGGAGAGGGGGGAGCAGCAGCGCAGCACCTTTAGCTGGCCTGGCATCACCCAGCGACCGAGCCCCAGCGCACGTGATGTTTTGATCCCGCTAACAAAGGACACTGCGACCCTCCCCGCTTCGCCGACAGCGTTCACAGTCCCCCATTCCGGCATTGCCTCACACCCTCATACCGTGCCGCTGTCTCCTACTACTGCTACTGCTACTACTACTGCTGTTGCTGCTGCTGCTACTGCTGCTGCTGCTGCTGTTGCTGCTACTGCTGATGCCTCACAATTTCATTATTGCGCTCGCTTTTCCTATGAGACTCTCGAGAGCCGCAAGTAAGAGTGAGAGTGCGGCAGCATGGCCGGCGGCTTGGTGTTCTCGCCCGGAGCTGGGAGCCTTGGGCGCTTGGAGCTGGAACGCTACCCTGATACCCTTACAGCCAGACGCATTCCTAGCGACTGGTTTCATGTGGCCCGTTATATTGCAGGTCCGCGCCAATTCGCCATGCGTGAAATTGTTGGCGACGTTATCTCTCCTATACCAGGGCTGGCTGATGTCTCCCGCCCCAAGCTCAAGCTCGTGCGTGTGCGTGCGTGCGTGCGACGACAACCACACCCCCTTTCGCCTGCGTGCGTGCGTGCAGTTGCAGCCTGGCCGGCCGCCGTCGAGCGATCCAGAGTTGTCCCGGCAGTTGCCCGGAGCTCTGAGACGCACCGCAGATGAATCCGTCCAGTCGCCGGTTCGAGGGTAGGCGCCCTTTGAGAGGTGCGTCGGGCATCGCGGATAATGGCTCATTTACTCGAGCCCGCCGCAAACGTCACCTGGCGCGGTCTGTTCGGACGGGGGACGTTATTCTGTCAACCGCACTAACCCGTATACGGTAACATTCAAACGCTTGAATCAAGGCATATCAAGTCCAAGGTGGATGAATTTTATAGCTCCTAACAAGAACATGTGTCCGGTCGGCATCTTCGAGCGACGACATCCACTTGCCAAGATGGATGATATGAGGAGCCCGCGATTCGCGCCGTCTCCTTGCAGGATGTGGTCAGTGTAGGCGCATCGCACGCAGTAGGCGGGCAGTCCTTGAGTCGCCTGATTCAACGCGACGGAACCCCGCTGATCCCACTTCGAGGAGTGCGCTTCTGGACTCAGCGAGCCCATGGAAATAGCATGTCACGAAATTCAACGCATAAGAACTCTCACCGCCGCTGATTTCCATCAGTAAAGTCAAGGATTGTGGATGCAGCACGTGCAGTTGGAGAATGTTGCCAAGCGATTAGTCAGGAACAGGATTCCAGGCTTCCTAGTTTGCTTCGGAAACGAGTACTAGTCACCCACTCCTTCATCTCTCACTCCGTTAAAGATACTAGCGCTGTTGGCTGAAAACGCGTATCGAATATGACCTTTTAAGGATATAGGAAACGGCATCGAGGCAGGGATTTCTAGTTCTATATTGCCTAGCTTCTCTCCACCATAGTGAAAGCCGGAACCAAGTCAGACAGAGAGTTAACACCTTGACGGGAGGTTTGACTGAATTATCGAACAGGTAGGAGAGCACCGTTTAGTCGTCAATGCGTATAGTCCATTTCTACCATTTCTCTGGTGAGGAAGAATGAAGTCAGGACAAAGAGTGATCCTGGACCACTTACCATCGACACAAGGTCTTGAAGTTATGGCTGTGTAAAACTAGGTGATCAATGGAAAAGCTTTAGATTCTCTCTCAAAATCTGAAGACACTCTTGAATATATGGGCAAGCCTGATTGATTTGAGATTGCTGTCGTCATTGAATCTATGGGTATCATAGGGTTTGTGGAATCCGTTCGATGTTCGCTCAACCATCCTCGTCATCCATGACAAGCTCTCGTAGGGTTTCGTCCGCGGCCCAATCTAGTCCACTTCCGACGATCATGCCAGAGAGGATGCCCTTCAGCGTCTTCATTCTTCTTCGCACGTCTCTTACGTTCTTATCCATCACTTGAACCCGGTCACGAAGTTTGGGGTCTTCGATATCCTGGGTCGACTGTGATCTTAGTTCACCTGCAAGTGCGAGGAGCGTCCGTGACAATTCTCTGTTTACTCTGTTGGCAGCAATGTTGCCTTCTTCTGCTGCGTTCAAAGCTTGTATCTTAGAAGCCAGCCTCGAGGCTAGGTTTGCGTGTATCATGGAAAGAGCATCTCTCTCGGTGATTAACGGCAATATTTTTCTGTAACGTTTAGCTGTGGCTTTGCACCATTAGATATTGAATTGAAGTTCTTACTTCTCGGCGTAGCCGGTATGTTCACCACCATGAACAGCTTTCAGAACAGGATCCATGACTAGCACGTTGCGAGTTATCCTGTTTCGCAACTCATGCTCTGCTCGGGCCTCCATAGCCTCGCGCTCAGCCGTAATCAGGTGCACTTCTAACTCGTCATCTGATAGCGCCGAGACATTCCGCTCATGTGCTGCACAAAGATTAGTAGCAAGCAAGACACGATTATGAAAGATGACTTGCTTGTGTTCTGCGCTTCAATGAGGCTTTGCTGCAGTTCGAGCTCGCGAAGCTGATCGTAGAGCTTAAGCACGAGCACTTCTTGGTCTGAGAACGCGAACGCGTCGCTGTGAGCAGTTTGGAGAAGATCCGAGTAATCGTTTGGATCCTGAGGCTGCGGAACTAAGCTGGTCATGTCGGTATCTTTTGCGGCATTCATTGCGAATTATCATATATTATGCCGAGTATCGTTCTGAATCGTGCAACGTCTAGTCCATCTGATCTCGTCCTTTTTATCTGATGATGCAGTATCGGCGGTCGGGTGAGACATCCCTGCATGCGCGTCTTGGCGGCGACTTTCGTGCCTAAAGCTCACTTCTCCGGCCGCATCAATACCTCTACTTCCTGCAGTCCTGTCGTGACAGGCAACCTCTTGAGCTGGAGGGATCCCCGAATGTCACTGCAGATTGCTGTAGCTCATACGGGCCAGCGCTTCGACGCTGATCCTGTCGACTTCAATACTATCGATGGCCTGAAGCACTGGATATCTAGTGCTACCCAAATACCGCCCGAGTGCCAGATCCTGCTAACGCCGAGAGGCAAACATGTTAAACTGCAAGCACTACTGACAGAGGTGCGAGCTTATC